GGGGGGGGGGGGGGGGGGGGGGGGTGGATGTCTGAAACCCGTTAATGTTGGGATTGTTGGTGGTTAAGGCCCTGCCTGTGGGCATTATGGCATCATAATCAAGCTTTCATTTTCAGGCCTTTAGTGTATTACAGTAGATGCTGATGTCTTTGTTGAAAGACTGTCAAACTTAAAGCTAAACAAAACAATCAAAAACAGCTGAGTGTGTGAAAAGTGAGTAAAAGCGAGCTGAGTTGACTGAACAGCTGTGGCAAGGCATTTCATGAACCTCATAAGAAAATAAAAACAGTCAGAAGGAGAGGAAATATGTAAAATTCACCTAGTGACATAATGCGTTTTCTTTCTTTCTTTTCCGTTTTGTCTTTTTGTCAGTTGTCAAGTACATTCATATGTCATTTATGATATTTTTTTCAATTTATGATAATTTATTGCATAAATTATGATTGTTTTTAAACTGGCCTTCAATTCTTCAACCGAAGAGGTGATCCAAAACTCACACCATTGGTTCGGCCAGTAGTTGAAATGTTGAATGCATTGTTGAATGCATTGTTTTGATAATAGTGTATATACACACAAATATCAGGTGAAATAATCAATTTTTAGTTACACTGAACCCTTTTGTCAGTGCAAACCCATATGTTATTCTTTCTTCAATTGAACACAAAAGGACATGTTTTGAACAATTCAATATTCAATACAAAGGTGAATGTACACAACATCCTCTCTTACCATTGGCTGAGCCAGTAGCTGACATGTTGAATTGCTGAAAAACAAGAATGGTTTTGATAGTGCCAATACATCTGCATATTAAACTGGAATAGGAGAAAGAATTTTAACATCAAAACCAAATCTTATCTAACTGTGTACATAAACAAAAGCTCACATGACCTACTGCCCTACCATGTGTACCAGATACACAGTCTAAGATTTATGAGTCTGTTTAGCAGAAACACCATCATTCTCAGAAAAGCCTAGATCTTTTGCTTTGAAGAGCAAGCCCACCTGTATCTCAGCAGAAAGGCTTCTGTTGTCTATTTTTGTGTGAGATGATCGTAACGTCCTGAACCACAGATGAATTCAGAGGAGTACATCGTTTCAGCATCAAAGAAGCATTCCAGCTGTCTGTCTTGCACATTGTGTGTCTTTTGTTTTGGTGAAAGAATTTGTTTCTGCTCTGTTAAGCAAGAGCTTTGAAACTTGGCAGGCATAATACATAGAATCCATCTGAGCTCCCAGCTGAACTCAGGTCAGAGTCAGTTCTTCTGTCTGTTCATATTGATGATTGCTTGATTGGAGGTCCAGTATTTGAAATGCCCTTAAATGTCTTTGAAAGTTTGTCTTTAAAGATGTACTGTTATAAGAGCAAATGTTATATTGTCTGTTTTGTTTACACTGTTTTGGACGTATACTGACACCTGTTGGTGTGGATGCAACATCAGGCTAGACATAAGACTAGAGGCTTCATCTTATAGTATGTGTGTAAACATAATTTTAAACAAATTTCTTAAAAGTATTTTTTTTAGCTTTTAATGAATTTGTTCCTCAAAGGTTGTACTGAAGCTGGATGAAACACACCTATAGCATATACGCAAACAGAAAAACAAACACAAGCCTTGAATCCAATGAAAGCATCTTTGTGATGGCTAAACTGTGTGCAACCCTTGCCATTTTGCATTTTGTTTGAATTGACCCTCTGTGCTTGCCGTAGACTGTTCCTGGTGTGCACAAACAGACAGTATCTCATTCAAAGAGGGTCAGTCAGGCAGGGTGGCCACAACCTGCTCTCAGCTCTCTCACAAATTCATTAGCAAATTCATACTACTTGTGTGTGTGTGTGTGTGTGTGTGAGAGAGAGAGAGATTTGCTGTGTCAGGGTAGTATAGATGTCAGTGTGGTCTATTTGGCTCAAATGAATCTTATGATTTCTGTATGTAAGCACTGTTCTGATCTGTTGGCACACTGAAGTAGATGACTAGTTTTCTGATCTCTGTGTTTGATTTCCATCTCTCTTCCAACTACTGGCATCACCATTCAGCTTTTTAAAATGAGACTCAGTGTTTCTTTGGAGTTTAAAATGTACATTCATGTTTTTGAAAGAAGTCTCTTATGCTCACGAAGGCTGCATTTGTTTGATCAACAATACAGTAAAAACAGAAATATTGTGAAATATTAACACAGTTTACAGTAACTTTTTTATTTAAATATATTTTCAAATATTATTTATTCCTGTGATGCAAAGCTGAATTTTCAGCATCATTACTCCAGTCTTCAGTGTCACATGATCCTTCAGAAGTTATTCTATCAAGAATATATATCAAGAATCACTTCTTATTAACGTTGTAAACAGTAATATTTTGGGGAAACCGTAAAACATCTTTTTCAAGATTCTTTGTTGAATAGAATGTTTATTTTAACTGGACATTTTTTGTAACATTGTAAATGTCTTTAACTTTAGTTTAGTTTAATGCATGGTTGTTGAATAAAAGTATTCTTTTTTTATTAAATATTAAATATAATAATTATTTAATTAATAAATAAAAACTTTCAATTGAGATTTGAGGCCAATTTTCTGGATAAATTTGGATGTAGTTTTGTTTTCAATATTATGGTAATACCAAAGTTGAAGTATTTATCTTGTGGTCTTGAGACCACATAAACATGGTTTTTACACACGTTTGAGGTGTATGATGTGGATGAATAAATGTATTCTGGAGTGTATAGTATTCTGACATCATTATTGGCCCACGTTGGTGTTTAGAACATTTGGTGTTAATCACTTAGCGCTCTATCAGAAGACCTGCTTCTGTATTATTATGATGTCAGAGTTGGATTATTGCTGACTTATGACATCACACTGTTATGAACAGCTTGCCAGCAATACTCTGTTACCTTGGCAACAGGCTCAGAAGAATCTGTGTTTCAGCTGGAGAACCGTTTTGAATTTTCATCCATTGGCGTTCACTTTTGTCGGCTTTACATTTTTATGTGAGTGTGCCAAATATAGGATTTTAATTCCAAAACCCAAATTAACTACTCATGAACGTTGAATGGGCCTCTCTTGGTATATCACTCATTTTCTTTGTCAATCTTTTTTGCTGCTTTGTTTCTAAAGTTCATCTTTGAGTTATAGTGGAAATGTGAAGAAACACATAATAATCCACATTTCAAAAACAAATCATAGTGCTGCTGACACTACATTTAACAAATTCAGCACTTATTCAGACACATGAAGGAGGAACCGAAAGACATACATTTAACTGATGAGGTTATTTTGGCCCAAAACACACAAGCACACACATATATTAGCTCATAAAACATATCATGTTAGCTGCTAAGAAGATGTTAGACCCATCCAACCTACCTCAAGTTGGACTGTGCATACAAATAAAACCATGTCCACCCGTTTTGATATTTATGATAGTGTCAGGTCTAATTGATCGCAAATGGTACACAGGAAGTGCACAGAATTCATAAACACATCGCCTAAAACTAAATAACACCAGAGAGAGTGTGTTTGTGAGCATGACTGGAGCCAAAACATTGCCTCCCATCAGATTAGTGAAAACCAAATGTTTGTGCATTAGTGTTTGTTTGCAAAGCATGGAGGCATCATTTTATTTTTGTAAATATAGTCTTTCTATCTGGGTGGTTAAAACAGGATCATTAGAGCTCAGTATTTGACACTGTATTAGGTAAAAAAAAATAATATTTTATGTTTTTTTTCTTCTGTTGTGTCTGTAGGCTGGTGGTTTGTCAGCACAGCTGAAGAACAAGGCTGGGTTCCTGCCACATACCTGGACTCACAGAGCGGCACCAGAGATGATCTGGACCTGGGAACATCTAGATCTGGAGAAGGTAGGACACACTAAATATACTCTCTCTCATACTTTCCTTTTGAACATGTGCACAAACACTCTTATACCCCAAGAAATCTTGACCAGTTGAACACAAGTATAAGGTGATCTGTTTCACATTCACTGAACGATCAACACCTAGGACCCGAAATATCCATAATGGATATTATATCCCAAATATTCCTTGAGCAACTTCCACTTGTTTATGAGAAAGGGGTGAGGGCTTTGGGATTGTGAGAGATCATCGATTGCAGAAAGAGAAATGACGGAAAGAAGGAAGGCTCTCTTCTCCTTAATGAAAGTGTGGTTATTATTTCTTTGAATCTATACATAATAAATAATAGTGTGGCATACCTGAACACCACATTGAATCTGAATGCTTCTTCAACTATGGGAACGTTTGGCCATGTGAACTTTAGATAGAAATCTATTTATTTATTCGAATTTTGTATTAACTAATTTAGTTGTTAGCTTTTTTCTGACAGTGTTTATTTATTTGTATGAGTCTTTTAATTAATTAATTTGTTAGTTTTTTCTAAAAGTATTTATTTATTTAATGAAAATTCCCACCAAGTTTTAGTATTGTATTTCTTAGCATTAAATGGTTAAAATGACAGTGGTCTTAAACATTTCGTAATAAAATGGCCTGCTTCATAGCTAGCATTTTATACATCATAAACGCACAAAATTAAATACTATTTTCTCTCTGTTTGTATAATTTGCACTCAAATTTTTCAAATCATTGAATGAATGAATCGATGAAATGAAACGAAACATTTACACGGTTGAATCATTCACCATAAGATCCATAACATGTATTTGCAAAATAGATATGGTGAATTTACATTCATGTCAACTTCAGTAAAATCAACTCTTGGAACATAAATTGTCAGAAGTTGAAGAAACACCCATTTATTTCACATTATTAAACACACATAAAGAACCGTCACATTATAAATATGTCCTCCTCTAATGTCTATCATCTGCTGCCATCAGCATTTCCTGGGTTGAGTTTCCTGTCTCAGCCAACAACATTTTTAGCTGCGTCTTGAAATGTATTCCGCTGAAAGACTCAATGTGTAAGATTAGGAGATAAAGCTTTAGCCACTATCTTTGTCTGAGATAGATCGATACATCCTCACACATGCACACAATTTATTGATCCCCAAGGGGTAATTTACCTTCCCGTGTGGCCACAACGGCTTCATTTCTGGATGTAGCTGCAGTTTTTTTTTTCAGGCTGAACTTTATTTGAACTAGACCATCTTTAGTTCAACTTTTTTTTTATTTTTAATTTTTATTTAATCTATGGAGTTGATAAGTGGTAAAAACCTTTGTAAAATACTGTATATGAAGTTTCCATTCTGTAACACAATAAAAATTTAAAGCACCATACATTTTTTAGACTTTACCATCACACAGTTTAACGTGCGCCACTAAAATCTAATAACACGTGTAATATTAAAGTCCTCCTTTGATTTGCCATCATTGTTCAAGCCAAGAACCCCCTCCTAACCAATCACACAACTCTTTTTTTTCATGTAATGTCTTCATTACACTAATACCAGTGTTCCTCTTGAGTTGTTGAGTTTGTCATGTCTCTATTCTCTTTCCGCTGTCTTCATTCATCCGTGTCAGTTACTAAGAGACGTAAGGCTCATCTGAAGAGGCTTGACCGGAGATGGACGCTAGGGGGAATAGTCAACCGCCAACAGAGTCGAGGTGAACGCACATGCAATCACGCATGCCTGCATAGACTGATCACATGCAAGCACTCACGTGTGTGACCAATTTGCATGGTGCGTTTGTGTGTTTGTGCAGGTTTACACAGTGATTAGCTTCAAAACGCACACAAACACACTCTTTAGAAACCTAAACTCTCTTTCTGGATCCAACTTCAGGATCTGGCTCCCAAAGCATGCTGGGCGGCCTGTTTCATATGCAAGCCATCATAAAATCTTTATTATACTTGGCTTTATGTCTCTGCTTGTGATTATATGTGCATGAATGTAAAAGGAGATAATTAAATGTGTTTTTAGATGAAGAAAACGGTTTTAAAAGGAAGCCAATTAGTTATTTTTAAGATGACTGGTTTAGAACAATATAGTAATTGTGAAATATTGTAGTCTGATATCTAGATTAGAAATTTCATGTATGGCATTGGAGTACAGAGTTCCAGAATCTTGTTCTTAAAGGGGTCATATGATGCGATTTCATTTTTTCCTTTCTCTTTGGAGTGTTACAAGCTCTTGGTGCATAAAGAAGATCTGTAAATTTGCAAAGACTAAAGTCTCAAATAGATATATAGATCAGAGATATTCTTTATAAAAGTTAAGAGTCAGCCACACCCCCATAAAACGGCTCGTTCGAACACACCCCCACATATCTACCTCACATTGTGGGAAGATTTGCATAACGCCGCCCAAATGTTCACGCAAAGAAAGAAGGCGTAACTTTTATTCTCGCTGTAGTATTGTTGCTGCCGCCATGTCCTGAAGACGCTGTGTGTTTCATTGTGAAAGCGAAACTACTTTGTTTGGTCTTCCAAAAGAACAATAATGTACAGTATGTGGAAAATAATGTGTTTTTTTAACTTTAAACGGCATAAACACATTTCATTATACCAAATACACAAAATAATGTTATTTTTAGCAGCATCATATGACCCCTTTAAGTCTGGTTTATGCTAGTTAGTACTGATTTGGTGCTGGTTTAGCTGGTGGACCAGAAATGAATGTCAGCCAGCTTGATCTTTATACTTTTATTCTAAAGCCTACTGACTAAGTAACTTTTGCCAGTTAAGACAATTTAAAGAGATAGTTCACCCAAAAATCTAAATTCGGTCAGGATGTCTCCCTCATGCCATTCTAAACCCGAATGGCATTCAGAGCACCAGCAAAATCTTGAAGAATGTTTTTGTCAATACAACATAAGTCAATGAGGACCCATGTTGTTTGGACCCCCACTGACTTCCATTGAATAGACAGAAACATTATTTAAAATCTTTGTTGGTGTTCTGCCAAAGATAGAATAGTGTTGAATTCGGAATGCTGAATTCAGCTGAATTTAGTCAGATCTGGCATCCTGCAGTTTGGCTACATGTCAAATAATTGATATAAACAGTGCATAAACTCTAAACTCGAGGTAGAGGATGAGTTGAATCATGCATGAGGTTTGACCTTTCAAAATCACAGTGTTTGATTCTAAACACCCAGACCTCAAATGAGGATTAATGTCTAGACCTTTGGTGGAAATGTGTGTTTGTATGGTGAGGAGTCTCCTTGGAGATCCGCCGTTTCATGTTGAGTCATGGAATAGACCTCCAAGCTTTAGAGTTGTAATTCCCGCAGTTTTCCGTCTGTGTACTCTTGGAGTGTGCTAACATGCTATGGACACCATGAACATGGCGCTAGAGCATGCTGGATCTGGAACTGGTGGAAGCACATGCTAAGAGCTTTTCCATGCTGTGTTGGCAGGTGGATGAATGGGACTGGGTGAAAATATGAAATCCCTGATCTTATGGGATGAGTTATGTTAAGTTTAATAAGTCTGTTCAAATGTCTGTCCTTCAGAAACCACCACCACTAATAACCCTGTTAACTGGTATTTTGGATGAAATCGTGGTCAAATTTTACATGGATTGTTTTTCTCTTCTCTTTTGATAGGGATTTGGAGAAAAAAATCTGGTTTCAGATTAAATGTGACACTGTTACAGTAACTCTGTGGCTGCCTTTTCCTCATTATTTTCCCTTACTTTGTTCTGCATCATAGGAGAAGTTGTTGGAAACTCACAGTGGAAAGTGTGGAAGTAGGTCATTGGCTCGCTGTGTGTGACTGCATTTAATCCTGTTATTTTTTTTTACTGTATACATACTAATGGTCGGGAGAGAACCACGGATGATCCGGAGAAGTAGGTCATTGGCTCGCTGTGTGTGACTGCATTTAATCCTGTTATTTTTTTTACTGTATACATACTAATGAGTCGGAGAGCACCACGGATGATCCGGAGACAAAGAGCAGCCAGTGGTTTCAGAGGGAACGTTTCTCCATAAACACAAATTGCAACCTTCAAAACAGGTCAGAGGTAGTGACTGATTCAGAGAGGTTGCTTGAAAGACACTAATGATCTTGGATAAAAAAAAACAAATTTTGTAACGCAATGGTTTCAAAACTGCAGAGCCATTGGATCCTCAGTTGCAACTAAGCAAGTTCTTACAAAATACATTTGAGTCTTGATGAAAATTCTGTCGTTTACTCAACCTAATGCTCCAAACCAGTATTATTTCATTTAAAATTTTTAGGTATTGCGCTTCCATATTCCACAGAAAAAGATGTTAGGCAATATTGCTCTTTTCCATAAAGTGAATGGGGACCAGGAGCTGTGAAGCTCCAGAAATAACAAAAATACACCATGAAAGCACCATCAAAGTCATGATGTTGAATATTTTATGCGTGGATAATGACTTAAATTTCTGTCTTTTCCTCAGGCAGTATTATCGTATGGCTGAAGTACACTCGGAATATAGCACAAAAAGTTGCATGGTCCTTTTTGTCATTTTTGGAGCTTGAAATAACATGGTCTCCATTAACTTTCAATCAGCAACATTAGCATATTTTTTCTAAACTTCTCCTTTTCTGTTACATGGAAAAATTACAGTTGTCAAGGGTTCAGAAAGATAAAAGGGTGAGTAAATGAATTTTCATTTTTGGGTGAAGTGTTAAGAAAGCGTAGAAATCAGCAGCGGGAACAGCTCAGATTTAGACAGAGCCTGCAGGATCCAGTAAGGCATTTGGTTAGCTTGCATGAAATAAAGCAAGCAAGTTTCGGAAAGATCAATATAATAGCTAGAATGATCTGTGTCTGTAATCTTAACTATTTTGAACATATCGCCGTGGTTTTTAGGTCACAGAGGCTGAGGGAGAAAATGCCTTTGTTGGCACGTGCTCCACAAGTGCATGCAAAACTGAAGTAGTGTGTTCTGGACCCACCTGACTTTTTCC